GTTATTTTCCTTCTAGTGAGTCCAGGGCGTTCTCATTTGGGTTGAAACTTGTAGCATGAAAGTCTATAGTCCGTTTTTGTATAATCCCGTGCGAGTTTGGATGTAGTCACCTCGGAGTCTTTATTCTGCCGTTCTCTTGCCGGTTCCGGAGCTGGTGGAGCTGCTCAGCGGCTTTGCGCGGCGCCCAGGTGCTCTGGATCGGGTCTGAAGTTTCAGCGGTTTTTTTTTTTCTCACCCAGGTATTGAGGATCAGATTTGCAGTCTTTCTGCAGCCTGGGCTCCACTCACTGAGCTGAGCTGTCCAGCTTTACCTCCAGGGTTTGGCGTGGGGCAAAGCAGCTCCTGCAGCCCGGGGAACTTCCAGGGGCTCGGGTTTTCCCGGGAGTTCCCTTCTGGGAACTACCCAGTCGCCGATTCCCTCGCAGTTATCTACCTTCTAGTGAGTCCAGGGTGTTTTCGTTTGGGTTAAAACTTGTAGTAAGTGAGTCTATAGTCTGTTTTCAGTCCTCAATTCCTATGCCGGCTTGGACGCGGTGATCTCGGCGTCTTTACTCTGCCGCCATCTTCCGGAAGTCCAAACTGTTTTTAAATTAAAGAAGAAAAGCTAGTATAAGAAGTACCTACCATGTTCTGGACAGTGGACTGGACATTCAGAGAGTGATAGAAATGGTCTCTTACCCTTGAGGAAGAGTCTAAAGCTAAGAGTGTGTTCAGAAGCTGGGCGCTGGAAACAGTTGTTATTTCCCTGTGATGCATCCCCTGCCAGGCCAGCCCTTCACCTTCAGGGGACCCTCTCATGACCTTAATCCTCGAGGTAGTTTGACCTCTACCCTTCACTGCCAGGGCCTCATCTACCATCTCTTAGTAATTAATGCTACTCTAGTAGCTTTGCTGTGCATATTGGTAATAGATACTAATTTATTGGGTTTTCTAGTTCTAGAATTTCTGTTGGTTGGTTTCTTTGCCATTTAGTTCCTGGGTTGTTGTGTTTTTGTTTTCCTATCCATTTCAATGGAATATTTTCCTTTACTTCATCACACATAGTTGCAAATGTGTAGTTGCATAGTTAATTAACAATCTTATCTGCTAATTTCAACATCTAAGTCATCTTGGTTTTTTGAGGCTGCGTCATCTCTCCTGATTCTTTTTGTATTGAATGCTTTTAGATTGTATCCTGGACAATGTCACACTGTGAAGAATCTGAATTTTTTAATAGTTATTCTAGGAACTTTGGTGTTTCCACTTTATCAAGCAGTTAATTTGACTGGACTCAAAATGCATCTTCCTGTTAACCAAGCGATCAAATACCACTTCAGTTCTTTCATTTTTAACAAAATTGCTTTACATCTTCCTACAAATGCATAATTGAAAATCAGTCAAAGCTTTGGGCAGAAATTACATTGGAATTTAGGGCTCCTCCCTCTCTGCCTTTTTCCTTTTGAGAATTCTCTCCCCACTTTTCAGTGACTGTGGTTGCCGTAAACTCTGCTATCTGATTTTTTAGACTAAAAAGACAAAATTTTTTGTTGAGTTTGAGCTAGTTTTAGAGGCCAGAGTTTGTGACATCTCCTCGGAAGCTAAAAACAGGAAAGCCATGGGTTTCTTTCATCTCTCAGATACCATCTTCTAAACCTAAATGCCTTCAGCTCATAGATTTGGGAGAGGAAAAGGTTTTGAGCTTGCCATTTTTATCTTAAGGGATGGTTAGGTCTTCTGGTAGGACCATACCTAGCCAGTACAAAAGCAGGGCTCTTACTGCACAATGCTCCTCTGGGAATTTTTGTTGGTAGGTAGGACTCCATTCCTAAAAAAATGAAACCAAAAGTTTAAAAAGCTACTGTACTTATACAATTTCCAGTTAGTCTTTAGGCATCTACTGTTACTTCTAAATGACCTGCAGTTCCAGCCTTTGTTGTGAACAGAGCCAGAGGTAGACACCTTGCCTTCTTTCCTCTGGGGTGTCTCACCCCACCCCTCAGCTTTAGCTTTCCAATGCCTAGTATAGGTATTTTCTCCCAGTCTCCTTAATGGCAGAAGTTTTGCAAAGCTCCTGGAAGGAGAAGTCAAGCATTCTATTTCTTTGATGAACATTTCAAATGGATGTTTTTAGAGGAAGAGAGTGATCAGAGGAAGTTTGCAGTTGAGCCTTTATTTTGACTTTTGGTTCACACTTTTAAAAAGTCTGGTTAGCCTCCAACTTGCAGCTTTCTGAAACTGAGCTGAGGAAGGCCATGGGCATGAGGAAGGCCCATGTCTACTACTCTGGTCTACTAAGGAACAAGGCAGGAAGATGACCAAGGTGGTAGGTAACTTGTGGTTAACATAGAAGAAAACCCACAGACTGTGGTCTGGACCCAACCGTGATGAAAGATCTGGAACATTCCACTGTGTAAGTAAACTGAAGCGAGTAGGAGGAAAACTATCACATGCCATTGATCATGGAAGTGGGAGTCCTTGGTCTTACTCTGAATTTGCTCTAACTTCATACACCTTTAAGAAATGTCCCCAACTTTCTTTATGGATCTTTCCATTGAGAGGAATATGTTTCAAAGGGTGGCTGCAAAGTAAATATGCATGTGAAGGCATTTGGAGGAAGGAGAATTCATATACCTGGAATGAAATGTTTGATAGCACTGACTCACAGAAATTGCTGGTTTTTACCTTCATATGAGATATCAGTCTTACAGGGTATGTGTCTGAAAGCGTATTGGTCACCTCTGTCCCTTTGAGGAGCACAGTTTTTTTTATTATTATTATTTATTTATGTATACAAGAACTAGGGTACAGGTCAGAGATGCTGGGGTAAGAAAATTCACCAGAGACAGAGTGGGGAGCTGAACAAACAGTACACTGCTGAGGGGAGCAGCAAGCGGGACAGGAGAGGTCTGCTATGCCATGTGGGTCACCTCCCTGGATTGTACTCATGCTAAAGTGGCTGCGGCCATATTCATAGAGCTGCACTTTCAGCCAGTTGCGCCACCAAGGAGGGCCCAGGAGCAGAGTTTTTAAAATGTTTGCTTGTCCCCAAATACAATGTTGTATGTTATTTTGAGTTAGCTAATTCCTTGATAAAGTCTATAATCCATTTGTACACTGCTTGTTTTTTACCATCCAATCTCCTGGTTAAAAAAAAAAAGTAAATAAAAGAAAAATAATGTACACTACTAGTCTCTCTTGTCTTTTTAATTCTTTTTATTTTTTTTTTTTTAATAGAGTCAAAAGCAACAAATGCAACTGTGGATCCCCGGTCATTTAGTCTCAGGCATTCCAATGACAGATATGAGCAAATCCCCCTGGAGGACTATGAGGACAATAATGAAAGTGGGTTAATAGAAAACAGATTCAGCCCTATCAACAAAAGTAGTTCTCTTCCAAAACAACCCATTGTGTTCATCTCGGAAGAAGTCTCAGGATACCTGACCAGCACCTGGTTGACTCTCTTTATCCCCTCTGTCTACACCGGTGTGTTTATAATAAGCCTTCCTCTCAACATCCTGGCCATCGTTGTGTTCATCTTGAAAATGAAGGTCAAGAAGCCTGCCGTGGTGTACATGCTGCATCTGGCCACGGCCGATGTGCTCTTTGTGTCTGTGCTCCCATTTAAGATCAGCTATTACTTTTCTGGAATGGATTGGAAATTCGGGTCTGAAATGTGTCACTTCGTCACGGCCGCGTTTTACTGTAACATGTATGCCTCCATCATGCTCATGACCGTCATAAGCATCGACCGGTTCCTGGCTGTGTTGTATCCCATCCAGTCCCTTTCCTGGCGTACTCTGGGCCGGGCCTCCTTCACTTGCCTAGCCATTTGGGGGATGGCCCTAGTGGGGGTGGTACCTCTTCTCCTCAATGAGCAAACTGCCCAAGTGCCAGGGCTCAACATAACCACCTGCCACGACGTGCTCAATCATACCCTGCTCAAAGGCTATTATGCGTATTACTTCTCAGCCTTCTCTGCTCTCTTCTTTTTTGTGCCCTTGATCATTTCCACAGTCTGTTATGTGTCTATCATCCGATGTCTTAGCTCTTCCATGGTTGCTACCCGGAGCAAGAAATACCGAGCTTTGTTACTGTCGGCCACTGTTTTCTGTATCTTCATCATTTGCTTTGGACCCACAAATGTCCTCCTGATTCTGCATTACTCATTCCTTTCACAGGATTCCATAACAGAAGCCACCTACTTTGCTTACCTCCTCTGTGTGTGTGTCAGCAGCATAAGCTGTTGCATTGACCCCTTGATTTACTACTATGCTTCCTCTGACTGCCAGAGGTACCTCTGTAGTATCTTATGCTGCAAAGAGAGTGCGGATCCCAGCAGTTACAACAGCAGTGGGCAGCTAATGGCAAGTAAAATGGATACCTGTTCTAGTAACCTGAATAACAGCATATATAAGAAGCTGTTAACTTAGGGAATGGGGGCTGCTGGTGAGTTCAAAAGAAAAGGTGAGAAAGCAAATAATCTGATGATTGTATTAATCCATCCCCCAACAGTATGGGCTTTACCACCTAAAAACAATAAATATATTATTTGCATACCTCCTTCTTGTAAGAGCCATTAAAGTGTATGTGTGTGTGTGTGTGTGTGTGTGTGTATATAGTATATATATATATATACACTATATATATATATATATATACACTATATATATATACATATATACACACACACTTTTTCTGTTACAGAAAAATGAAACGAGAATAGGAGACAAGAGTATTGCCAACGCCATATGATAATGAATGTCACTTGCTGATATATTTAGGTGATGTGTGGGTGTGATATAGATATGTCTACACACAAGTATCATTTGCAGAGCAGTATAGAATAGGCACTTTGAAACCTCTTTTTCCTCCTCCCCCTAGCAATTGTGAAAATAAACTCCGGTTCGCTGAGCATCAGAAGATCTTCATCAATTGTGAGCGATTCTAGTTTGGACTTGTGTACGTCACTATAATTTGGACTTGTGTAACATCAATGTTTAAGTTATTGAGGGATAAGATTTAGTACTGTGTAGAAAAGACTTACTGTTTTTCACTTCAAAATATCAAAGTATGATGCTTCAACATTATGAAAGCAGGCATTTTTGATGTTTCACATGCTGTGTGTGTAAACCAAGCTTGAGGGTAGTACTGTGAGCTGAGTCGGTTTTCACAGGAACTGACTGAGATGTGGCTACCAGGGCCATCAAGGGCTACAAGGGATTGGCCTAAAACCCTCCAGCCAAAACCCTCAGAGAGCAGAAGAATAGAACCACACCACACCTGGCCTCTCCTCCTGGGATTCTCTCAAAAGTTCGCTGTATTGATCACGTTTATTAGAATTTGAACAGTATGTGCTATCCCAGGAAATAATGACTATAAGACTTCTCTGCCTAGTTTAAGCCTCTAGGAAAAAGGCATGTTCTTCCAGCAGTTAACCCTGCATGATCCCTGCTCAGATGGAAACCCTTGGAAAAAAACATGAAGATCCACTGTGTGCCTTGTGCTCTCTGTGAGTGCTGGCTTATAACGTTGAATAATACTGAGACCTGCCCTCAAGAAGAACAAAGTAGACCAATACATAGAATGTGATATGTGTAGAATAAATGTTACATACAAAAGTGCTTTTAAGCATGTTCACACAGCAAGGCCTATCAGCTGAAGAACCTTGAACATTCAGGTTACTGCTTCCTGTAGTTTTAATTTGAGATGAAAATATAAAACAAGAAGTATATCTTTAAAAAATATATATTTCAATTTACATTAATTACAAACTATCGTTTTTTTGTTTTTGTTTTTTTTTTTTTAAATTAAAGCAGGTGTTTTTTAAATCAATTATGTCAGTCTGATTGGACATACTAGAAGAACTGACTTTGAAGTTTAGGAAATTTTTTTAAATTCACTTTCTTAAGAGTTGATGAGATGATTGTAAAGGCATTTTTAACAATATAACAAGTCTCAAATACAGGATTCCTCATGAATTTGACAAAATAATTTGAAAATAGATTGAAATGTACCTTTACCCCTAATGGAAAAATACTGGCATTTTAAACAGACAAAAACAGTGGAAGGTACAAGGCGAATGTTTACTTATTTAAAAGAGAAAATTATTCCAAATGCTAGAAGATAATTCACATGAAAGCATGTATTCTAAGTAGAAGCTAGCATTGATTTTATTAACTTAGTCACTGTATTCCTTTTATTCAACTCAGTGGAGATTTATTATTATTGTTTATTCAGTCTCTATATTTAAATACCTCTGACTTAATATGACTGTCACTACTATCAGTTTGTACTTACAAAACATTATGTCACTTTTTATGTTTTTTTTTAAATAAATTTATGTAACCTATATTAATAAACATGAAACATTGCTTGGTATCTGTTTGGAGCAAATTTTTACTGTCTTTCGGGATCCTGTTAGGAGAGTCACTCTAAGGGTTTCACTGATGAGCATATTTACTGAAGAGGCGATTTGCAGAGGTGTGGACAGGGTTACTGAGCCAACAAGGGGTACTGCAGCATCCCCAAGGACTAGCAATTAGGGGAAATGTTTACCATTCCAAAGTGGTAGAAGAGGGAATTACTGATCCCCAGTCCTCTGATCTCATGCTGGTACCTCCCATGGCTGTGGATCTTAACCCAAACCCAGAGATCAAGGGATACCTAGGAGAAGTCGCTCATAAAGGTCAGCTTCTTGGGGCACAGAGAATGAATATGGAAGACCCAATCGAGGGAGGAAAGCACAGTTTCCACCAGAAGCACTGTCTTCTTTTTAGTTCCTTTTTAGGAAAATTCAAGATGCTATCTTTGAGAATATGTTTCGGATCTTGGTTTCTAAGCTTTGTGGTTCAAGTCTGAAGTTCTTTCCTAAGGAAGAGAGAAGCAAATGTCTGTGTAAGGAAGCTGTAGCTGAAATCTAAGGGAGGGCTGCACAGGGTGACAGTTGTTTGCCATCTAATGCTTCCTGAGCAAGAGTGGTAAAGGAAGTTGAAGCAAAATGACAAGAAACTCTAAGAGCTGAAAACCGGATTCTGTGACTAGAGTCAGTCAATAGAAAAAAATTTTCAGCTACACCAGAATCTGTTAACTCACAGACCTTTTAAGTTAGCGCAAAGTGTTTTAAGTTTCTGAACCTGGCACTGAAATAAATACAGTGAAAAAAGTCAGCTGCATTACTGACCACCAGAAATATGATTCCTATTCTAATGACAAAGTGACCTTTAAACTCTTCTGTTATTTTTCAAAACTGTTTGAACTCAGAAAAAAAAAAATAACACTTGAATTTTCTTAAACACACAAAAAAATTTTAGCAACTTAAAATAGCATTTTTGAGGAAGTGGATTATTTGGCTGTTGAACATGCATATGGAAAATTTTAGGTTATACTTCTGAATTTAGGAAATTAACAAAAATATTGACATGATACTCAGGCAGTCTTGAGCACTAAGAGCAAATACGAAAAGACTAGTTGTGCATGGAGAATAATTGACCACAGGATTAAACAAATTGTAATTTTAAGTTTAAATATGCTACAATCTAACCAAAGAGGAGAAATGCCTCAGTGACCCTGAGGCCCTTTCAAGAGATGTAGAGGTCAAAACTCTTAAAACATGATAGTGCAACAGATTGAATGCAAAAGAGAATGAAAACTTTCTGTTAAAGCAAGCATTAAAGAGATAGGTAAAAATATAAAAACAATGCAACTCTTCTGATTAATTTATTTGGGGAAAATTATAAAAAATAATGTATGTTAGGCCCTCCCTGGTGGCGCAGTGGGTTAAAGCACAGCACTGAGAATCTAAAACCACTTCCGCATGAGTTTGATTCCCACCTGCCCTGGAGGTGACCACATGGCGCAGCAGACCTCTCCTGACCTGCCCGCTGCTCCCCTCAGCAGTGTACTTCGTGGATCTGCCTGTTCTGCTCCCCACTCTGTCTCTGGTGAATCCTCTCACCCTACGCATCTCTGGCCTGTACCCCAGTTCTATATGAATAAATAAATAAATCTTTAAAAAAAAAAAGCATAAACTTCCTACCCACA